TTTTAGTTTTGGAGTACTCAATGGTCAAATCATTATCAATTGAGAAAATAATTTTACAATTCAGTTCTTGTCAAACTACAAAACTATGACCATTATCAATTGAAAGGTGCCGCCCACGTTCTGCATAGCACTTTCTGTTATCAAATTAATCATTCAATTAAATACTATTTACTGTTGACCTAACCTATTTGTCAATGTAATAATTGCAGTTAATGTGCAATATCTAACCAAAAAAAAAAAAAGTCCATTCCATTTTTTTTCATATACTTCAATGATAAGTTGAGTGCTGAGAAAGTGAGAAGTAAATTTTGTAAAAGTGTTATTTGAGTATAATTTTTGTATAGTATTTTTTCTTTTCTTGAAAGTAAATTTTCATAAAGTGTTGAATAATGAATTGTTGGCTAAAAAAACCATGAATTAATATAAAATAACCTTAAAATTTTTAAAATTACTTAATAGAACAGATTTTTTAATCCAAAAATTACAAGTTTGTATTTTTGCAAAACTCTATTTGACTAAACCTCTATATTTGCAGTTTTCAGTTAGAAATTTTTTTGTGTAAAAATTAAAATTTTTAATTTAAAATTACCTAACTCATTAATTATGGAGGTGTTTGTTTTAACATCTTAAAAATAATTTAATTTTAATTAAATATTTTAAATTATAAACAATAATTATTACTAATTACTAAATATTAACAATTAACTATTAATTATATAAAAAAAAAACTAATTCAATCAACGCATATCACTATAAAAAAATAAATATTTTATAACAAAGAATTAATTATAAAAGCTTATATTTTTTTTATCATAAATTAAATTTACATCTAAAATTTAAATTTTTATAATTAATTTTATCGTCATAAAAACACCTATATAATCCACAATGACACTAGATTTTATTTCTTAGTTATGTAAGAATTTAGGAAATGTGGCTAGGATTAAAAAATTAGGCCGCCGGCGCCGATCAAGTAACTTTCCATATACAGTTATCTATTGGCAACCTGCTCCCTTCTAACTAAATATTTCTCCAAATTCAGCATACGTGCTTGAGTGGAAAAAAGATCACCATTTTCCCACCTTCAACCACAAGCAAAAATTATCCACATCCGGCCACCAATTACTACCAATTCCTTTGACCTTCCATCTTCGAGGACCCCATATAATAAGCCACCCCAAAACACACACCTTTTCTGTACCCAAGTTTTGTGCAACTTTACTTCCTCCAAAAACTCACCATTTTGTATTCCCCTTCACCCCCATCGAGACGTGGAGAAACCACATGGGGGGTGGTGGGATCAGTATTTATGCACATTGTCTCATCATCATTCTGTTTGGAATTGGTTTTTCTTCTGTTTCTCTCGTGGTCATGGCTGCTGCTGCTGCTGCTGCCTCCTCAGCCCCTATAGATACATCCACTGCCATCCTGATTTGGGTTGATCCATCCGGAAATGGAGATTTCAAGAAGATACAGGATGCCATAGATGCTGTTCCTTCTAATAATTCTGAATTCGTTGTCATTAAAATTAAGCCTGGAACATACAGGTTAATTTACATTTGCATATATGTTGAACTTGTACTACAAACTTGGGTTAATTATCTCTTCTTCTTTCATGCAGAGAAAAGATTGTTGTGCCTGCCAATAAACCATATGTAACATTGAGTGGCACTAAGGCCTCTGAGACCATCATAGCATGGAGTGATGGAGGGGACATTTTTGACTCTCCAACTCTCACTGTTTTTGCTTCTGATTTTGTGGGACAATTTCTCACAATTCAGGTGTACATTCAATTTGGTTTTCTTGATATATTAAGAATTCTAGCATTAGGTATTGTTCGCTTTGATTCCTAAATCTTACAGTTTATTGATATCGTGATGGTAAGAAAAAATGTTCCTTACCTATACATTATTGGTAGCAGCTGTAAGACCAATAAGTCAAAGCGGACTATAACTCTGCCTAAATCTTGACATCAATGTCTTAAGTTGAAATGTGTTTGGCTTTTGAATGTTAACAGAATTCATTTGGGACAACAGGGAGGGCAGTTGCACTAAGGGTATCTGGAGACAGAGCTGCATTCTACGGATGCAGAATTCTTTCCTACCAAGACAGTCTCCTGGATGATACTGGAAATCATTATTACAGAAACTGCTACATTGAAGGAGCAACAGATTTCATATGTGGGAATGCTGCCTCCCTCTATGAAGTGAGTTTCTCTACATAAAATGAGAAGCAGCTCTATTGGAGTCTAAAATTTTTAAGTACTAATGAAAAATCTATGTTCTCTTAGAGTTGCCATTTGCATTCACTTTCAACACTAAATGGAGCTATCACTGCCCAACACCGGGGTTCTCCATCAGAGAACACTGGCTTCACTTTCTCGGCTTGCAACATAACCGGAGTTGGACATGCCTTCCTTGGCAGGCCATGGGGTGCTTATTCCAGGGTGATTTTTGCCCAGACTTACATGTCCAGTGTGATAGTACCACAAGGCTGGGATGACTGGCAAGACCCAAAAAGACAAAGGTACTATAGATTAAGTCATTATCCCTAGACCAAAACCAAAATTTTCCACGAAATTTCAGTTAAGAGATATTGATTAATTACCTTTGGTTTTTGTGTGACAGTACTGTATATTATGGTGAATACAAATGCTATGGTCCTGGGGCTGATACATCAAAAAGGGTTCAATGGTCACAGAGTCTGTCAGAAGATGAGGCTGCACCATTCTTGACCAAGCACATGATTGGTGGGACAACTTGGCTCAGACCTGCACCAACCCATTTCAAAAGGTTCACGGGTTCCGTTACCAGTCTGATGAAGGCTGATGAAAATGACTAGAATTGGATTAACTGGTTCAGAGTTTCAGCAGTTCATTCTTGTTATAATGCTCAATTCATTTATACACATTAATTGATTTTGAAGTATACAATGACAACCACATGTTTAGCTTACATTTATATGTAAGATACAGTTAAAAAAAAAAAAAAAAAGAAAGAAAGAAAAGAAAATTTGTTCTGAAAATTTCATGCGTCCAAGGAAAGTTTTCTCACCATTTCAGTGTTCTTAATTAATAGTTCTTAGTTGGTAGTAAGTAGATCATGACGTTCCTAATGTTGAAAAATAATAACATTAGGAACATATTTTAAGTTTAGATAAGATATGGACATGCAATGAACTAAAAGCAAAAGCAAAACAAGCAAATAAGCAATATTGGGTGACGTTTGAACAACATGTTCAAATACAGAAGATAAAGCACCAAAGCAGCTGCATTCTCAAGGAAAGGAGAAAATAAAACCCAACACTTTTCCTTCACGATAAAGCTCTCAAAATCAAGGACGGCCGTGTTTGGCTTTATGTAGCTCTCATGCTTATAGAGTTAATAGTTTATAATTTCCTCATGAAAAACTCTTCAAGTTTAATATTACCCTTTAAAGTCCCTCTCATTTTTTGCTTCCAAGCTTTCACCTTCAACCTCTTCTCTCTACCTACTTTGACAAGACCTCCTCCAATTCCTTCTATAGCAAACCGATAATTTAAGCTCCATAAATGCATAATGCCTGAATTACATTGCTCGTCAAATCAAAACATATTTCACACAGAATTCAGGATTCTATTCCAATGGCTAAGAGTTTCTTAGCATCATTGCTTCTCTTCTTTCAGATAGTTTGGTTCATTTCTCTTCCTGCCGAAGCTGCAATCAAGAAATACCAATTTGATGTAAGTTCATTTTTAGATCATTAAGGATTTTAAATCATCATGCTGCAAGTCTGCGCCCTATTGATGAAAGTTCTTATTTTGTTGTTTCCAGATTCAAGTGAAAAATGTTAGCAGGCTATGCCATGCTAAACCCATTGTTACAGTTAATGGGATGTTCCCAGGGCCAACCGTATATATCAGGGAAGGCGACAGAGTTCTCATTAATGTCACAAACCATGCAAAATATAACATGTCCATTCATTGGTAAATTATACATAAACACAGAAGGTATGATTGTAGTTTCATGATTTAGATATTGGCTTCATTAAGAAAAATGTGATGGTTTTTGTAGGCATGGATTGAAGCAATTTCGCAATGGATGGGCAGATGGACCCGCTTATATAACACAATGCCCCATCAAGACAGGGCATAGTTATGTCTATGATTTCAATGTAACTGGACAAAGAGGAACATTATGGTGGCACGCGCACATCTCTTGGCTGAGGGCCACTGTCTATGGTGCTATTGTCATCATGCCCAAACAGGGGACCCCTTTTCCATTCCCTCAGCCTCACCAAGAAACGAACATAATTTTAGGTGCCTTGGACTACGATTCTAGATAAAGATATCATATATTCAAGTACTGATTACTTTATCACTGGATCAAAGTCTTAAACTTACAATGTTTCCTGTAACTGACGTAGGTGAATGGTGGAACAATGACGTTGAAGAACTTGTTAAACAAGGGAACAAGCTGGGATTGCCCCCTAATGCCTCAGATGCACACACAATCAATGGAAAGCCGGGGCCATTGTTCCCTTGTTATGAAAAACGTAAGCAAAATTGAAGCAATGACTTTTTTTTTTTTTTTTTAATCTAAGCATGAGAAATTCGAATCTGAAACTTTTCAAGAGCCACCATATCGTTTAATCACTAGACTAATGCCTTATAGTTAAAGTTTTAATACCCTTTTTTATTTTTTTTTGGTATTTTGTGTCAGATACATATGCAATGGAGGTAGAACAAGGAAAGACATACCTCTTGAGAATCATCAACGCCGCACTCAATGATGAACTCTTCTTTGCCATTGCTGGCCACAACATGATGGTGGTGGAAGTTGATGCAGTTTACACCAAGCCATTTTCTACAAATGCCATTCTAATTGCACCAGGACAGACCACCAATGTTCTTGTTCAAGCCACACAAGCCCCAGGAAGATATTTCATGGCCGCTAGGCCGTTCATGGATGCACTGCTTCCCATAGACAACAAAACCGCCACTGCCATACTCCAATATAAGGGTGTCCCAACCACTGTCCTTCCAATCCTCCCCCAGCTTCCTGTACCTGATGACACCGACTTTGCCTTGAGCTACAATGCCAAACTCAGGAGCTTGAATTCTCCACAATTCCCTGCAAATGTTCCCCTTAAAGTGGACAGGCATCTTTTTTACACAATTGGTCTGGGGATAAACCCATGTCCAACATGCATCAATGGCACACAGCTCATAGCATCTTTGAACAACATCTCATTTGAGATGCCCCAAATTGGACTTCTCCAGGCTCATTTCTTCAACATCAAGGGAGTGTTCAGGACAGATTTTCCAGACAAACCTCTAACGCCTTTCAATTACACCGGAGCACCATTGACAGCCAACCTTGCTGCCAATATAGGCACCAGAGTTAGCAAGATAACCTACAATTCCACAGTTGAGTTGGTGCTACAAGACACCAATCTTCTTACAGTTGAATCCCATCCATTCCACCTTCATGGTTACAATTTCTTTGTGGTTGGGACTGGAATTGGCAACTTTGATCCTAAAGAAGACCCCGCTAAATTTAACTTGGTTGATCCTCCTGAAAGAAACACAGTTGGAGTACCCACAGGCGGCTGGACTGCTATAAGGTTCAGAGCTAATAATCCAGGTAAGTTCATCATAAGTAAACAACCCTTCATTAATTCTTCCACCTGTTTTCGATCTTCTTAATGATTTTGTTCAATGTTTAGGAGTGTGGTTCATGCATTGTCATTTGGAGCTTCATACCAGCTGGGGTTTGAAGACAGCATTTGTGGTAGAGGATGGAAAAGGAGCAGATCAAACTGTTCTGCCTC